ATAAATGTTTGATTATTTAATACAAAAATAGAAACAACAGCAAAAGTGGAGGACTGCACGGCATAGATTAGAGTTTTCGAAGAAGACTAGCAGTTAAATAATTATGTATATAAGGATTTTTAAATTACGATTATTGTTTACCTGTTATAGTGACTAAAGAACGGTGTGAAGTCCCTTGCTAACATTCATATATAGATTTCTTCAATTGAATATATATGTAATAACTTATATGCAAATACATCTGAAGAGAAGTTACGGTTCTTCGTCATTGCGGCTTTTACCGTTGCACACAAGACGTTATAAGTATTAAGATTTTTGTTATATAAGTATTATTTTCGTTTCGATTGGTATAAAGGACAACGTCATGTATGTGAAAATGTGTATGTAAAGATACGTGTGTGAAAATATAGCTGTCATATGAGCTTAATCAATGTGTTCGGCTACCCCCTTTTCAGATAGAGGTTACACCATATTACGTCACGTTCTAGCGTAGTGATTTGTGAATTAGTAGTTGCATTACACGTCAGTATATTTTTTGTTTACGATCGTTATATAGTACCGATTTCTACTGAGAGATGGCGAACGTGTTTTGGCATGGCGAGCGTTCACTATTCTGTTACTTATAGTAGCAAAAATGATTGGTTTTCCTCAAACATTTTTTGTTTCAGGGGCTCGTTTTGGCGCACGTATAAATTGCCATCGATAATCGGTGATGCTACCGTTCATTAGAAGTCAACTTAAAAGGCATCTGATTCCGCCGGTCTTCGGCAATGGGAAACGATGATGCGAATAAAATAGCTCAGGACCTTTGCTAAGGCAGGCTCATTCGTTCTTGCAATGCGCGGCGTCTGAGCATATAACGGAATGTTTAGCCTCTTGATGCTGTAGTTCCATAATTACATTTTCAATTCACTGAAGCGTATTTTCTTCATATCTACAAGTACGGTTAGGTTGAACGGTAATGCTTCACATCCAACAGGTGATATGGATCGACCCTATCACTCACTTTTGATTACCAATAAAAACCAGTTTTAAACTCCATATTAATGCCCTACAAGCTGCTCTTCGCTTTAGCCAACATGGTCATTTTGAATTGCACTTGTAGTGGGGCGTCTCTGACAGCATAGGCTTTAATGGGAACAGCTAGAACTGGCCAAAGAGGACGCTTTCATGACTCAGGTTCATTACCCCTATAAGACGGAGTGCTTTGCGTATCCCAATATGCCTGGCTATCAAACTAGCAACCAGATGGCGATCAAAAACAGGTGCCAGCTTTGATGGGCGTACTAGTTGCTAAGAGTGCCCTTTTACATGAACAAAGCCAATAAAACCTCCTAGTTAATCTGTCACCATCCAAGTGGTTCCTCGTGTCACTCCTAACTAGTTGATGATAATGGACTTTTTTTTTTTCACAAATATTCGTGTCCTGTTCGAGCTAGAATGAGACCTGAAAAATTGTGCTTAAACTGATACAATCGACTTTGCCTCAAGCCTTTTTTTTTAGTGCAAAGATTTTTGGATAGAGTATAAAGCACTTAAATAACTGTTGAATTGAAAGCTAATTTATTAAAAATCGATATGTAAAAGAATGTTCGTTTAAACATTTCGCTATGTAAATTTGAGGATCTGATGAACCGTAGATTTATCCACTTACCGCCCTGGCCACACTGAACGTTTCCGTGATGATCGCAAATTTTAAGCACCGGATGGAATAGAGTGCCAGGAGCACATGGTTTATGAAAGGGAATATTGTTGGAACAATGGTAGAAATGATCGCAGTTTACAGGGTCGGGGAATAGACCATTGGCTTCGGGACACAGAAATTCGACGACGACCGCACTGGGCGGTGTACTGACTCTATTATCATAAGTGATCCCCTCGACCTCGTCGCACGGGCAATAAAATTTAACCTGGTAATCAAAGCAACCATCGCCCGGATTAGCGGTGTGGAAGCATGACAGTCCACTGTTAACGTCGCAAGTTAACGTTTGACCTGTTGCCGTCCAGTCAATACCTAAATTGTTAAAAAAAAAAAAAAAAAAAAAAAACACAAAGAGCCGCTAGATTAGATACTGTACACTTAAGAGCAATACAAGTAAACATCTGTTTCTCATATTGTTGACTCATTTTACTGCACATACTATTGTCCTATGTACCTATACCTATGTGATTAGTACTAAAGAGTAATCTGGTCTATCGCTGGCGGTCCCTAACATTTATTCAGTTCAATAAAAAATCAGTTAGGAGGACTATACTGATAGACGAAGCACTAGGGACGAAGAAATCTGTCGACTGGCATACACGCCATGTGTTTCAGTGTGCTAACTATTCAATCGTGTCGAAACTTTCAGCGACGCTGTTTCAGTCTGCTATGCACAGCGACTTAACATCTATTATCTATTTACTGGCCTGAAATGCGTTATATTTTTCAAAAGAAATTTGGAGACAGCTAAAAAAAAGTTGCTAAAAACATGTTCTGACTCGTGCAACAATTTTACCTCCTGGAGACAAATGACTTTCCTTAGTTTGACATTGGATAGCTGTAGGCCGTTCACAAACGAGTCCTTGACCAATAAGCAATCGCAGCTTCTCAAAATCACCAGCCGCGTCTGCGTTATCAGTACTAATCCATTGGGTCCAACAGCCTTCGGTCATTTCTGGCGGAAGCACTACAAATAAAATATTTTTTTTTTTTATAGAACATATAGCGTAACTCAGGTGGTTTCTTGCTTTCACTGATTTTTTTCAATTATTCTGTTCAGTACCTTTAGTTTCTGTGAGCACGGTGCCCTCACGTTGTTGCTCGCATTTGCTGAGCTCTTGACAAATCATCTCGTTGCGTAAACACTGGCACTCGTGACATTCGTCTTTAACACGTACTTCGCCAGGCTGAAAACCATAACCAAGCAGTAACACTTGAGTGCTTGCGTCGTGGGCCGGCAAGCTGGGATTCACGCAGAACTACCATGCGTTAGCAGTCCTACGATGAAACGTTAGCAGAACGCGCGTTTTTTCTATAATGCATCTTTTATATCCTCCATACATAGATCAGGCTTTTCACCTATAGTGTATTTTGGCAACCTGCAACACTACTTGTGAGAGGCACAAGTCGATGTCTCTAACTACTAGCCAATTAGAAGCATAAAAATGCAATGACAAGGGCATAATTTAACAGTTCAAAATATACAACTTCTGTGATATCGATCCAAACTACAGGTCGCACATGCAGTACTGCTTTAGATAGATAAAAATATGCCTAGGTTAAGCGGCAGTACCGATATTTCAATGTATTTTTTCTTGGCTAGGCAAACCTTGGCACTGCTTAGTCTAACAACACTCAGTTGTGTGCTTTAAATGTATGGATAAATACTTGATTCAACGTACAGGTACAATCTCTCCTGATGGTAAAACGCAGGGGCAGTGATCGATGGGTACACAATTGTTTGGTCCGAAAAGAACTTGCCCTTGTGGGCATTCCTCACGGCAACCAGGTATGCATTCCTTATCCAGGCAATGACCTTGCAGCATGAGATTCTTGCGGTAATTATGGCACGTTTGTGAACAGTCAATTCCGCAGGTGGACCATTGCTGGCCATTAAGACAAGTTTGCGCATCTAAAAAATATAAATGGTTTATAATTAAGAGAGCCAACAACGGATGGTGTATATAATAATTGTATCGTAGATCAAACGTGGATGTATTTAATGCTGGCGTTATTGCCAAATTCACAAGGAAAGCATTATAAGAAGGATTGCTACGTATTCACAGGTTTTTCTTCTAGCAGAAGGTGGCCTAGTTCTTAAGATATGCTATCATATATATTAAACAGAGACTGGGTGTAGATGCAACATGAACCTCACCGCTTATAGAGGCTGGTGGAACGTCTATTGAAACAACCTCGCTCGGGTCTACAGGACCTGTTTGCCATAGAAAGAAAAGTAATTGCCATCGCAGGGGTCATCAGTAGTAGTCAAAAATCCGTTGAATAATTAAAATTATGAAAACTGTGATTTGGCTTATATAATGCTCGACTCGGTTAAGTCCGCGTGAATTAAGTGATTGAAGAAGCCAAACATCTAACTATATATATGCAAAATCTGAAAAAAAACGTGCCGCAGATTCCACAGACTCGAATACACGAGGTAACCCCTAAACGATCATTCCTTTGGGTCATCTTAGTCTGCTTACTATGTAACAGCTATTTTCAGACAGACAAATGGGACACGCGATAGGCGCTCTTTTAATCGCAGCAATGAATTGATAAGATATCACGTACAAAACAACAGCCTCAAAGGTGAACTAACATGAGCACTGGACGCGTATTTCCCAGTCATCACATGGCTGTAGATCATGGGGCTCGCATTCAAGTCCTCTAGATTTGTCGCACGAAACTCCCATAGTGTAAGGATTCCACATCTCATGATCGTGAATCCGTCGGCATTCTAAATCTACGATTGACTCTCGTGGGCATTTATGGTACACGAGGTACTCGAGATCCCGGCCGAACTAAAATTTTGGTGGTAGACAGGAAGAAGACGGTGGACGTACGGAACAGTTAACAACAGAATGGCCCGCTATTACCTATTTAATATCCATCTCAGTTAAGAGTCGACATTAAGTCTATGCCTTTTTACACTAAGCTTACCAATATATGATTGAACACGAATGTCACAACAGGTCGCTAAAGATCGCTTATCAATCATATTCTTCTAAAACTAACTTCATCTTATTTGTCTTTCTTACTCTATCTATACAAAATAGCATGACTCTAGATACGTATTAGGACTACAGACTGCGTCAGGCGGTGAATTGTCGCTCCTCCAATCGGACCACCCGTCGAAGCAGTTGATATTTATAAGTGATTGGGTACAGGGCTGACCAATGCAACGAGTCGCACCGCGCATACAGAAGCTGAAATTGAAAAGTAAGTCTTTAAAACGGGCCGCCGATCTGAGTGTGGTTTTAGTTACACATTTTTAACGATTTATACACATTCGCATTGTACGCTCTTCTTATTCAGATGCATGAGATAGACTCCTTTGATTTCAACAAATTGCCTGAAAGGGATATCACGACTGACAAATTCTGCCTGAATTTTAAATTTATATCTATCCTTGTTCATTTAGATTAACTAATTGATTATAAAAGAAAAAGAATTTACTGCGGTTGACAGCTTGCGTTTGAGATATACCTATATAATTATAGAATTTTGCCCTATTCTACAGCTTACGTTTTCTCTAATTAAAAACCTTTTAAACTCTGGGTACTATTTATCTTCATATTTGGCTAAGTCCAAGCGAAGTTAAAGGCTTCAAGTGTATGTAAACAGGGAATTCCCAAGAGAAATTGTAGAGTCGAGGACATCAAGAACCGCAAGGCTAGACGGCTTATTTAAAAAACAGTATATTTTCAACATTTCTTACCATGAAACGCAAGAGTCATTGGAAGGCATACGATCTCCTTCCCTGTAGACTTGTCCATTCCCCTTTCCGTCTGCGACCCGACAAAACACGGGTTCTACGTTAACCAGGCCGCTGACATGTCCGCCTCCACACTGGGACGAAGGGACGCACTCGTGAGTGGACGCATTTAGACGGATATAACCTGTAAATGCGTGATAACGTTGACGAGTTGTTAGTTCATCACTACTGAACCGAACATCATGTACTAATGGTCGTCATTCGTTTTCCTTTTATCAACTACAGCGTATAGGAGCAGTCATCAGGAGGAACCCCTTACCAGCCTTGCACTTCGGCAGAGCACAACCTTCGACGCAGACCGGTTCGTGACAATCCATCTGAACACCCTGTTCAATAGCCATCTGGCACGTCTGCGAGTTTGCACAAGCGTCCGGGACGCACGGCGTATACCGTTCACAATCTTCGTCACATTGCATTGCTGTGAAAAAGGAACGAACAGAATATTATTGATTGTTACATAATTCTCATTTTGTGGCCCCAACTTGTCCAACAAAACGCCGCCTTTATTAACAGGTTCACTAGAAGGTGGCTAACTCCGGATGACCAATCTTGCAAGACGACTCTAGCATAAATACTGTAACTGGGCACCACGAGGTAATACCCTGAATGTGTATTGAATTTTATAAAAAATATTTGCAACGATAATTGCTAAGTTCCCAAAACACTGCATAGATAATTAGACTTTTATATGACTGATAGTGAAATGAGCGATGCACTAATCGAGGTGTCTTCGAATCCATACGGCAAAGGTCTTGGTGTCTCCATCGGACAGGAACCCCTCTCTGGGCACAACGATGAGCGTACGCAGCAATCGCGGTGCAAACGCATTCACAATTGCCTAAATCATGACAGCTGCACGCGTCGGCTAAACACCTGCAATTCGATGTCAGCAACCAAGACGCTGGAATTACTTACAATTCTCTATACAATATCTATTATAAAATAAATGTAAGTTTATTTTTATATAACGTTTTGAGGAGGGCTAACGATTTTATGCAAAAAAAAATGCACTAATGTTATGCGAAGGGTTAATATTTTCGGGCAGTTTTCTCGGTAATATGTGAGAAACATCCAAAAGTAAGTTTTTGGCTTCTCGAGTTGTTCGGTATAGATATACCTTTGCATCGCCAAGAGAAAAAGTTTTTCTTATCTTTGTCGCGAAAAGATTATTAGCGAATATGTTTCCGGGGGAACATGGTCGAAAATTTTTTAAACATATTGAGATAGGCTTACTTGCTCGATTCTTCAAACAGTCTTAGATTTATATGGTATAATAAAAATAGAGCCAGCTTCCAATAACAGCAGTGCAATATATGTGGCAAAGTATGACATAGACTACGTAGCAGAGTAACGGTACAACTTGAACGTGGTGGTGAGATGTCTGCATCAGGTCATTTAATATACTAGTCAAGATAAATAAATGTTCGAGGCAGTATAGTTGAACTACTTAAGTTATCTGTAATAGGATAAATGAAGCGGCGTAAGTGAGTAATCAGAACAATGCAATCAATAACTTATGTAGTACGGCATAATGAAAGAGCTGTTACGAAGCAATAGGGAAGAGACAACAAGATTAACTGAATAATACTTAGGCGTAGAGAGCTAGGATAGCATTGGTTTGTATCCGATGTATAGGTATATAACAGGACACATCTCAGGAAGCGCTTTAGCTTGACTGTTTTCTAACGTTCTAACGTTACCGTACACACATAAGTTTAAGAACGGACACATCGCCGTTTGATCTCTAAGCCTGACAAATTTAGTAATATTAGTAACCTTTCCAAATAGGGTTCGACATCAACATCATTATGACAATCTTCAAACAAAGGCCCCTTCAACACTGCGCATTGGCTCTGAGCTTCGAGTTTCTTGCTCTCGTTTCGACACTGGAGATCTCTCGCCGCTGGAAGTTTGCAGTGCTTATGCAATTGCCAGTCTTTGACAAACGTTTGGACTGAATGTACTTGCGGTCCTCCTGAAGAAACTTGTAGCTCATCAGTGTCATCCCCATTGTAATTTCCGCAAAGTCCGAGCAACTGAAAATGAAACGAACTTACTGATTATACCTTAGTACCCAGAAGTTATTACGGAAGCGATCTGAACTGGGCAGTTAATAGGCATCTTTTTGGGTGCGTTACCGTAGCGGGCAAGGACAATAAGTACGCTGGCTGCTGACGGTTCATACCTCAGATGGTGAGATATTGCAGATGGTAACAAAGGATTTATGAAAAAGGACAAGGAAATAAGCATCTAAAAGGCCTACTGAAATAGTTACGTACTATTTCATAGATCCAACTTTAGGACCTCTTCCAGAGACTTATCCAAGAATGGCTAAAGGTCAGGTCGAGCCATCACAGATCTCTATACCTGATAAGCACTTTGATCATGGGAAGAAAATAAACTTAGCCCACTAATTAGTTTTTATCAACAGAAATCGACGCGTTAATATAACGAGCAATCGCAAGGATACTACCATCACTCATGGATCCTCAGTCAACATGTACGAACCCGTCGTAGTGTGTGCCTGACACAGTTTATTTAAAAATCTTTAGGACAACCATCACTGATGTCGATTATTTTGAACGACCTTTTAAGGACCCTGATTGTTACCTCGTTAAAGCGTTTACTCCCCTTCAAGTTGCTATATTATGTAATATATTACAAGCGGCTCTACGGAGACTGAAAATTCCACAAAAGTTCCGTATGTTACTGAAAAACGACAGCCACAAAGGGCCCTTTGTCCTTACAAGCCATACTTCAGAAATAATCCGGCCTAGCTCATCAGGAACGAATGGGACCTCGCACGGCACTATTGAAAGTAGGAGCCACTGTAGGTATTGAGAATACGTATTCAAAATTCAAGTTCGTATTGAGAATAAGCAAGTATTTCGCAAGTAATCAAGTGACGCAGATACTGACATGGTACATTGGCGGAAAAGTTGAGAAAACGCGACTCTAGATCGTGTTGGTAGACTTACTCGTTCCTTCCATTGAATTCCCGCAATGACATAGAGTCGAGTGTTCCCATCCCAGTAGACCGTTAGTTGATTTGGAAGAATCATTTTAGTGAAGAGGCCGACGTGTTGTGGACTGAGCGGAGCTTCTCTCGAGAGATGCCATGTATTTCGTATTAGAGTTGCAGAGTGATTTTCTAAAAGATGTAGTACCCGTAGATAGATTTACTTGTCTTTAATAAATGTGCCTAACGTTTATACAGGTAAATTTACTAAAAAGAGTGTTTTTTTCCTATTGTATGCATTTTTCAGATTGACATAGCATTTTTACTACAACGTACGGGCAAAGGGAACGGACATAACCAAAAATTAATACAGGGTTTTCAGCCATACATAGCAATATGTAATAGTATCGTAGATGATCCAATGATATTATTCTGGCATTGCTTTAGGAATAACAACCAACACGTAACCTAATAGGTGTTACGTGTATTGTTTCATTTTTCTATGGCCTGTTTCAGATGATCTTTTTTCATTTTCTATAAGCAGATGGTCTCGTCGGATCCACCGCCCGACGATTTGGTCTCGATGGTATTTCATCATTACTTTAATGATCATTTAGTGGCTAGTATAGAATGCAAACATGCCGCCATCACAAATAATCGCGATGCCTTAAATATAATAGACCATTGTTTTGCTTCATGATAACGAGGAATTATTGAAGTTTATCTAAAATCTATCGAACGTACCGTACTGAACGACGACGCTTTTTCGGCAATGGGCCGAAGGCGTCGCACAACGAAAGTTTCGAAGGATTACTTGGAACCAGCCTGAATTTAACGATTCACTATCTGCTCGTACGATGACATAATCACACTGCCCGTCAAAGTCGAGCATTTCCCCGTCGAAGGTTTTCACGTGGGTGTCGCCCCACACGTCACATTGTCCCGGACAAGGTGCGTCGGCGCATTTCCAAGTGCCGTCCACGCAGGTGCTAACCATATCAAAAATGGAAACAAAAATATATTCATTATTTTACAATAAAAGATAAGATAAAAGTCATACGCGTTAATCACTAATCGCGTCACTCATTTTGTAAATTTACTTTGCAAAACCTCAACACAACGTTATCTTATTCGACGTAAATCATTCGTAATCCTAGATACATAGCTAACACGAATGCCAGTTACCATTTGTTACACTCCCGATGAACGGACTCGCCTTCATTATATTGCAATCCTCCGTGAATACAAGGACATTCACTGCGACGGATACATTTCCTCGTTCTTTCGTCTCGAACATAACCGTTAGCGCACGTACAGCCTGATAACGTCAATGGTGATAACGTAGAGTGTAGTTTATGATTGAATTAAACAGCTTGGTGCTAACTCAGGGGAAAAAATTAATTCAAATGGGATTAAATTTCAGTTCCATAGAACAGAAGGCTCCATCCATATCCACTAAGTTTGAAATGCTGACAATAGAAAATGCCGAACATACGCTCAGAAGGCAAATACCGGTTGTAAGGAATGCTTAAAGGATTACAAACCTGGGTGACATACCCCGTTGTCGCATTCGTCTCGCTTGACCTTTAAATTTTTACACGTTGGTTCGCACGATGTAACGCACTGAGAAAACACCTCCTCTGGATCCGGGCACTTCATTTCGACAGCATCGACTGTACAGTTGTCGCACTCATCCGTCGATGCTTCACAATGCCAAAAACCCTTTCGACATTCACTGGAGACATTGAGCAGGCACTTCCATTACAACAGACCCGTTTCTACCATTTTATGCTAAAAAGACTAACCTTATTCCTCTGGCTACCAGACCTACAAGCTTACCAGTTTTGGTGAGTTCTCGATTGCCGGAATCCGTCCGGATACTCGCGATTATCGAAATAGCACATACACGAGTCATACGGTATGCAGGTGCCTGTTGTGCTAAAGGTTTGACCTGCTGGACAAGCACAACCTTCAACGCATGCTCCTTGAGTACAGTTGGGGCCGAAGTGCGATCGATGCGCACAAGATGCGTGACATCCTGATTGACAGTATTGGTACTGCATGCCCTGGTGGCACAAAGAAGCTGCAATCCAATTATTACATTATGCATGAAAATTTCATTATTATTATTTAAAACAACACCAAACATGATTTTGGTTGATTGCTAGAATCTGATATAAGTATTTTGCAGGTTTTCTTCGAGAATACGTTCTAATACTTACTACACTGGGGCAACTGAGATTGCCAGTCCGTGATAACGCCTTTATTTGCGCACAATTGTGCATAGTAGCTGATTACGGGACAAAGGCATTCTGGTGTCTCCGATGAGCATGAACATAACACGTTTAGGCATAGACTGTAGTATTCCTCTGGAGCCACTTTGTCGTTACATCCTGCCATTTCAACAGCACCGAAATGGGTTTAGTGGAACTTCAGCACAATATGTAGCTGAGCATAATTGCAAGATTGAAGTATACATTTCATGTGACTTTTCTATACGGTGGGGGGCAACTAACCCTGGAATATTGATTCGTCTCTGTAAAGCTTTTGGCAGATCGCGAGCCGTTCAAAGTAGAAGGTGCCATTTGAGGGACAAGACGTTACGGGGGTGAACTTACACCCCTCCATCTCGACCAGCCACGATTCGGCAATTGCTCCTGACGACGTCGTGATGTCATTATTTGGAGTGGTGAAGTCATCAGCTCGCTGGTCATTGCATGAGCAATTCATAGTGATTTCTATTTAGTACTCTTTTATTTAACCCGCTATCGAATACAAACGTGCTTCGAAATGGGACAATCGGGAAACGGTCATTTGCCTCTATGAAGGGCGGGATTCTGTACCGTAAGTTAGGAACAAACGATTTATGTAGAGTGGTTTGGCTACTTTAATTAAACGACCTGTCATAAAATAAACTCCGTAGATATCAAGGTCATTGTCTCTCGTGTATTTTAAAATCTAAGTGTTAAGAATTAACAAGTGCATGTTGATAAGCATAAAATACTCCTACTTAGTAATCCTACAGAGCACCATACCTGATGATTGAAGGTTCCGCAGAGGCCAACTGTTTTGTTGAAGAACGTGGGCGACGCCTTGATCGAGATTTGGCTCTTGCCATTAGTCAAAATGCTGATATATTTTACATCAACCTAAAATAAGTGAGTTGTATCATCAGAGCCATTTTATTAACCTAGCACATTCCTATTTAGCTTATATCAGCAAACAAATGAAGCCACAATCCTAAATGTATTATAATGAGATGGTTGCTTGTATCAGATAGTTCTAGAGCTCTATCCCGCGGTTTTTTAGACTACGCATATATTAGTTCAGTAAGAACCGTAGAACAAATCTGAAATCGCCAACGCAAATATCTACCTGAATAAATTCGTGGGTGGGTCGAGAAAGTGTGATCTGATGGGGCAGCATAATGGGAAGATGTCTGAGCTCCCTATGATCCTTTAGAACTCGTAGATCAGATGTCACACGGATTGAAAGGTCGTTGAGGTTGATCACCACATCACCGACACAGACCTGCGAATATTCGAGCAGACGGTAGGCATGCGTGCAGGGAAATTTATCAGGCCTATGTACATCCACGCTAAACGGATTCCCACGCCATTGATTTTTAGCGATTCTATAACAACTTAGTTACTGATAACTTGACATACAAACACTGCAAATTTCCACTGGGAATGCATTCATTGGGGAATTTGAGGATATAATAATGAGTTCACCTCTAAATGCATGCAAATAAACGGAAGCTCTTATATTGTACTACAAGATACGATATTAAAGTTACTATACTATGCTGAAATGTATTTATCATTAATACTAAATGTATTATAGGTCATTAATTGAATTTGCATAAGAACATATCAAATAAAAGTAACGCGTTCTCCGAAACTATTTTACCATTTATATGGCAGTTTGCAAAGCTATGACATACTAAACAATTACAATTTATACGTTTAAATGACGCTTTTGACGTATACTTCTGCTGTACAACAAAGCTAACCTCGGTAGCGTCCTCCGGGCAGGAAGATCGATCCTGAATAATCTGAGGCCCATCAGTGATCTGCATAAGGACAAATGCGCAAGAACCGGCACCCGTATAATATCCTTTGCCATCGAATGTAACGTAGAACGAGTTGACTAGAACGGCACATTCACTGTCACACACTTCTCTCGTGCAAGCCCATTCGCCATCTTTACACGTACTGTCAAAAAAAACGCATACAGGTCAGAACTGATAAACCACGGCAATGCTATGACCACCGTACCTACTACGTCACAGTGATGCATTGATATGAAATTAGCCAATCGTTTAACATGACAATTATGTACATTTATACAACCTTATAAAATCCTAATTCAGCTAATTCTTCACTCCAATTTCGTATCTGGCCAAAACATCAATCCACCTACCAGGTGTTGCAGTCCTGCACGATATAACGTCCGTTCTCAAAGATAAATCCTTCGTGGTAACATGGACAGGCCTTTCGTGGAACACAGTTTTCCCCATGTCGGACGTAGTTTTGTGGACATACACAGCCTTCGACACATTCATCTTCGGGAGTCGGTGGACAAGAAATATCTGGTCTGTCGCACGTTGCTTCACAAGATGGGACACACTTGACCCGTTCCTCACCTGTGGGACACTTCTTTCGGCGGATAATGTTTGATGACGCATCCTGGGCTTCTACAACCACTGCGTTCGATTCCTTTTCAGGTTCATCTACACTAGAATATTTAATATTTCCCGGTAATTTTACAGCACCTTGAACTATCGATTGTTAACTTCTAATATTATTGTTCTATTCTATTCTATTTATTCTAATTCTAATTACTTCTCCTGCTGTGTATGATTGACACGTAACTGTTAAAACCTTATAAATACGCCGCCACTTACTAGATAGTTTCATATATTTCATAGTGATCATGATCGTTTCCATCTTTTTTTGTTCCCCGTGCTTGTTCCATTTCATCTCGTGTAACCTCTCCGGGTATCAGCTCCAGTTCGGGGTCGTCTATGGAAAAACATTGGAACGGACGTACGGTAACCATCTATTAGGCGGTAGTTCTATCAAACAGGTAAATGATATATTCAAACAGTCAATAAAGCAATGGCTTTATGGAATGGAGGAGCGCCACGAAAGTTTAGCTTTCGTAAGGATTAGTACTTCGGACTAGTTGTTGGGCTAATCAATGTAGGCTTCTTTCTAGCGACACGCAATAGTTCGTAAGTGCTATCAGTTGATTAAGTAAAAAGCTTTTCTAGCGGTGAACGCTGATTTGACGTACCGGCAACGCAGGTTGGCACTCGTGACGGAGTCCATATGCCTTCGATACTGCATCGGTGCGTATGTGGTGATTCGAACTCAAAATAAAAGGGGTCTGGACAACTAAGACTGCAAATAGTTCCATTCCTTTGATGACTACATCTCCACGTACCGAGAAACTCCGAGAAATGTCCATCGCAAAGGCTCACGGCTGTAATAATTTCACATTTTCGCCTGTCATATTTATTGCTTTCACATAGGAGACATCGGCGATACACTTATCAGTAACAGTTAGATATCTCAAAGGCAATCATTGTTTTTCAACCCTTAGTTATTGCTTAGTTAGTTGCAGTAAACCTTTTGCTACATAATCGAGTAATGTACGTAAACTAATGAGCAAGACTGAAAATATACGTTTTCATGACAACCAGCTCCAGACTGTCGGGTGATGTCGCACTAGAATACGCTACCGTCATAGTTTTCGCTTGATCACATAAGCATAAAAATGATGACGCTTCTTTTGGTAGTTGAGAAGTATTTGGTAGATTTTTTTTTAGTTACAAAAAAAAAGTATGGTGCAGCAATAAGGGTTTAATCATAACCACTACCATTGTCATTATTAAGGATCCGTATGATATTTACCGTATTCGCATCTCTGACCGCGGAAAGTAGCCTTACATACGCATTCATTGTTACCAATGCATTTGCCTCCGTTCTCGCATGGTTCATGGCAGTATGCTATGTTTATAAGCAAAAAAAATCAAACCAGTTAGTAGGAGGCGCGGAGGGGGCGCTGTTCAAGTGTGTTTAAGTCTTCAATTAAAAATTGGTATACGCGATTACATGAACTACCGGTATATTATATGGTGCTGGTCGTCGACGAACCAAGCACGTCTTCGTTAAGGGCACCCCACGATAGTTGATATAAAAAAGAAATACAAAACTAATAACTTCCTAGAAACTTAAGCAATACGCTAAATAACTATTCTAAAATATAGGAAGTATATAGAAGGTAAAAAGATCATAGTTGTTCATCCTCCACAGGAAATCGTGATTTAATGAAACAAATTCTCAGTTATCTGGCAATCGTCCGGAATATCCTTTCCTTAAAAAACAGGTAACACCTAAATTGTAGCCTGACTAGTGCACGCCGTGAGCAAACGTACCTTCGCAGTCAACAAATGCCTCTCTCGGTGTATAGATGCCATCGTCTTCATTGCAGCTGATTATCTGTGTGACGTTTCCATCCGGGAGTTTAAAACCTTTGAGACAACTGGCCTTGCACATGCGTTTCCCATGACTTTTTCGACACTTGACCCTGGAGCGTTTTGGGGCTGCCGGGATTGGGCAGATTTCTGTGACCCGACAATGAACGAACTTCAATGTAATACATAAACAATCTCATACAATTTCTAGATAAACAGCTTCTTGTCAATATTTTATAATTCGCACTGATTACTCATAAGTAGCTGAGTCTATAAAACTAGGTTTGCCTGTAATACATTAGAGTATATTGAATTCTTGGCTGAACAAATAGTTCTTGATTATAAAAGTGGGATATTTCGGGCAAGCTATTTGCGAATTGATTTCAACACGCTAAAATTACCCTTAGTTGGTGACTGTTTTAGAATAAATAAGTTTGATAATAGATTTGATCTTTTCTTTACTTGCCGGACCTCTAGGACCTAATTAGGTATTTTTTTTCTCTATGTATCCAAGGCATTTATGTCGCCACGGAAAAGTTCTTTGAATTACACTCAAAGAGGTATGTGATTTTTATCTAGAAACACCAGTGTCCAGAAAGGCCTAGAAAAATTCTACAAGTCTATAACTGACACAGGCCAGCTTTGCGAATAGCTAATGATGAACGCATTTCGATTCATCGCTACCAAGTCGTCCTACACATTGCACGTGTGGATTAAATATGATAGGTAACCTAAAAAGGCCCATTCAACCTACCGATTTGAACACTTGACCTTCCGAGAATGGGGACCTCATCCAATACGTCCTCCTCCGCGTCTTCCCTGAATAGAATGTACAAAATAGAACACAATATTACTTCAGCTACTTAGTGCGTGTGCCATATTTGATATGGTTATTTCTATAATGTATCTAGCAGTACGACACATTTTAGTAACTCTTGAACTTTACATTGTGTTTCATCGTATACGATTACATCGTAAAGCCGAAAAAAAGCTATAAATTTAATGCTGATTTTTCCGGTCGCATTTTGCATGAATGCATTTTTTGACGTGCCGCTAAGGCGATGATGAACACAGTGCACCATATTAACATAGAATAGGCGGCATCTGCCAGCCTTTACCGAAACTGACTTTAGCGTTTTACAACAGTTGGCGATCTAGATTTAAGCCCACTTTTCAAACGTCCCAAGCAGGTAACGATGGAATGCAGGCTCTATTGGGTTGACACCTGGCCCAGTTACTCCGAAATGTTTTCGTGCTCAGGTATTGAGTTAAGTGTAGAGATTAGGATTAGCCATCCGAGCGTCCCAAAATCTTTTGGCTATTAAATGAATTGAATGAAGATATCATTGCCCATGGCTAACTATTCTCACAGCTAAGAAACGAATTTCTTTTTAAGGAAACTTAAAAAGGGCCGTCTTGTTGAAACGGTAACAAACGATCAAGTCTCGAATAATTCCCGGCATCGTCGCCCAAAAAAACTTCGAGGAAGGTTTGTATGTATATTCGAATCGTACCATTAAATTTTATCAGTCACTTTTATAATTATACGAGGCGTTATTTTTAGCAATATGAACATTTCTGTACATGATCCACGGACCTAATACGTATGGTATGTTGCAGGAGATACCCGTAAATTAATTATATTCATCTATATCATAGCCTTTCTATAATAGTACGAACGCTTTTTAATTTTCACTCATAGTGTGTAAAATATACGCGAAAAATTTCACTTGTTAGCAACTTACAGATGCCTCAATTGTCCAAACTTATATGGTCTTCTTGAAAGTATTGTGTTTGCAATCCATAGACTAAAGTCTGTCAACTCAATTATATATATTAATTTCTACTGTGCTCTAGGATTCCTCGAATCGAATTGTGCCCACGTTTCTTACATGCTTTTACGAGTAGCCCAGAACGAGAGTTGGGTTCAAAACTCTCTTGTCCGTCGCAAGCACGTTACTAGTACTTGTACATAAGGCACAGGCCTAAACGCTGGTTCGTAAAATTCTTCTGCAGCATTGTTCTAACTTGTTAGTATTTGGTTTCGTTCTTCACCCAGATGACGATCCGTTTATTAGTGTATTTTCATAGACATTTTTCAAGCCGTTCACTTTAGAGCGCTTGCAAAAAAGCTGAGCATTTTAGTCAAACTTTCTCGGACAGTACGACTTTCTACCGCTCAATCTATCACTTAAATATTTATATTTACCGAATATTTGAAAAGTGATGATTCTTTTAGGTATTTTTAAGTCACAGGCCTAGTTGGCCTAAATATAATCAATTTTACAACGAAAAATAATTTCTATTCACATCGCGTTTGTTGCGATTTCCTTGCATTTTAGCTACAGACAATTTGAAATGATGATCCTAAATATTTGTCAAGCAAGCATCTGTTACTGCGTCCACAGTTTGCCAGCGTTCGCTTTGTTCCCAGGTATGCCTTAACGGATGAATGTAGACACATAACCTGCATTAATTAGCCCCGGGCTAACGTAGATGCTACATGGGTCCCCCCAGTGGTATCAGTGTAAAGAAACAGTTTGTATCAATGCAAATAAAACTACTAGCTTTTTGGCACTGAAAACCCAAATTTCTCAGTTCCCCATTTTTTTGTACTCAACAACCCCCGAATGAATTCGGTCCGGCGATGCTTCGCTCTTTTTCAAGCTTATGCAACTTTATGCATTAATCACTATATACTATTGAACGCTACAAAAACAACTAGCCTGAATTTGCTCATAGGTAAATTTACGTTTTTTTTTATCTAACGTTTCGGATCAACTAATTACAAATATTGCAAATAAAAGGAAATCACTTACAAATCATCCCAGGAGAGTCCATGATCATTAGTCCATACAGCCTGAACCAGCCAGGCCATACAAGCTAGGCGCAGTACCAACGCTTGATGCATTGTATGTTTTTCAAAGACGCACTTGGCCTGTTTAAGTCAGTTTACTTCTTTTCCATTTCAGTAGTCTCTAGTCTGAGTAACAGCAGTAACAAGAATTAGTCTGAGCATTCAAATTGCACGATTATGGCGCAGTGCTGTTTTACAGCAGAAGATGATCAAAAACCTTGCCTGAATCAAGCCTGAGTGAACGATGAGTCTTCCGGCTCGTGTTTTGAGAAAAAGCAAAGCAGCCAAGTAAAAGGTCGCAGGAAATTAACACGAAAGGATTGGCCCGATGTTCTCCCGTTTCCGGCATCTCATACACACAACGATCGGTCACTACCGTTTAGGTAAAATGACTGGTTCTGTGCGTCATTTTTGGCGTTCAGCAAAACGCTCGAGATCTGCGACAACCCATTGCCATTTCGTCTAAACACAATGCGAACGTTACACTTTAGGGCGCCGAGAATGTCGCGCCTTTCAGCCGTTGTTCTGCTTATTTGACAGCAATTTCAATCAAAGATTAAATTGACCAGTATAAAATCTGTTTCTTTTTTGTTTGTTCAGTACACAACACCACGTATGCCTATATTGATATTGCATTCACATGCAGGCAGGCATGTACATGCATTCAGTGGCGCCTATATTAAATGTTTGTATTAGTGAAAATAGAGCGCCTATAGTACTGTACAAGTTGGCCTTTCCCTAGCAGGCTCAGTATCCAGGTAGCGATTCCTGGCAGCCCTGGATACATCGTTTGGGGGCATTGATCCCGTTTATGTTAAGAACGAACTTAATATCTCTTTCGGCGAATTCAATTTAGGAAACACAGGACCAGTATCCTTCGACCCCTGGTGAACTGATTTCAAATTAATGAAGTCGATTACCATTATTGTTACACAATTAAAAGTTCATTTAATAATCTGCGTATGAGCAACTCATGCTCCACTCATTACTTCTACCAAACGCACCGTCTTGTTAGCAGTCCGCTTAACTCAAGTGACTGTGTAATGTTAAGCAGTTCCCTAAAATTTTGAGGAAATTTTACCAGACCCAATTGCCCAGTAGAAAATTGACAAACAAGATAAAATAAATAGGTACCATGAGGCGAATAGGCTTTTTGGGGTAGACGAGTGTCCCTTCAGAGGTGCTTCGAAAACTGCTCTTTAAACGATAGTGTTGATTTATGCAGGCCAGATTTTTTCAATGTAGACATTCGCATACACAGAATTAGGAAATCGTCCATACTCCCTGGATTTGATTTTGACGCGCGCGACTGAACTTTGCGAGCAACAATGGCCTAAAAATGTTTATTTTTAAGACGTAAACTGGTTTGCAATTGGTCTGGGAAAAATATGCTATTACGCTACAAGTGCACCCTATCCGTCAGTCAGTAACTGACACATTTCCAGTAGGATACTGTATTTGCCGATATTTTTAAATTCATTTTTTTTTTACGGTCAAAGGCGCCAAACAAATTGAGCCTACATTACTTGCTTAGGTCTTCGATAATTTTGGTTTCAGGCCAGTTTTGGACAAGGCGTCGAATTCTCTGGCGTTTGTTTGCAAATGAACACTAATTCGAAAAATTTAACACTATGAGACCGATGAGTATGTCTCCCGTTAAGGCCCAGCCATTCCCTAGATAACAGATATTTCTATGACGTTAGTTTGCTGCATGGTCGTATCTAGCTAGCGCGAATATGGGAAATATTCCAAACTGCGGCTCTTATATGTTAAATGAATGATTTTTTTTTCCTGTTCCTCTAACTATCCACGGTTGTCGTTCACAAATTCGACTTAATTAATACCTGTGCCGCATGTGCTGGTCCCTTCTGCTCACATTTATGTATATGGCTATCGCTAAATACTTTAAACGCCCATTGAAAGGTCTGGAAAATCAGACGACCATTCGCTCTCGCCCATATCCAAGCAGTTTTTCATTATTTTGATTACCATCGTCGTACCACTATTCGTTGACGTCATTTTCTGTTGGCAGTAGTAATAAATATCGATTCATTATATAATTACGCTGCAAATAGAAACTATTCGAACAATAAAAACACGTTAAAGTCTCACAGAAATCGTTATCGAGCGACTTTCGAACGGGTCGCGCCCAACGCCCCGAATCCGTACGCCAAACGACGCTATTCAGCCAACGGCTGAAGCGAATGGTATCGAAGCCCACCCAGCACAGTGTGGCAGTCTGGCACATCAGTTCCATGTACATCAGTTCCGCGGCTTGTTCAAATACCTGTGCCAGAAGAAATGTTCGCTTGGTGTTTAGGCATAATACTAGTTGGCTGCATATAGTCATCACGGGCAGTATCCACTGGATGATGTAAACAAATGTCAAACAGAGTATAGCTGCGTCTCAGGCTAAAGAGAGTGCACAATCAATGAATGATTGATGATTATTGCAAACGGGTGAACAAAGACATTTGTTGTATTGAAGCTTATGTAGAAGCTATGCTATCATAAGTAGCTCGTTGCAGCCTGTACAGACATCATGAAGGAATCTGACGTTCTCGCGGCCTATGTGGCATCTGGCTAGGCCGGTTTTGTTCGACACGACATCGGTTTGCACATAGGTTCCTCGATGACTTCACATGCCTTGGCAATTACAAGTTTCACGGGGCTCCGCTAGGAAAGATTCGCGCGTGGCGAATCTTTCCTAGCGGAGTCTGGATACTCTTCCGGAGGCGCTTCCTATGGAAGCGACCAACGACAGTTCAACTCGGACTACTTATTAATACAAATGTATTTTTCTATAAGCTGTTGATTACCCAAAAATCCTGTTTTCAAAAGTATTATAATTCAACATAATGCCGATGCCACACGTTATACAGGACCTCGTTATACTTCTATACCGTTTCGCCTGCACGAATCAAGTTACAACATGGCTCTTCCTTTATCAAATACTGAAACTATAAATGAGACAGAGTTCACCCGGCTTCTAAGCACCGAGCAACAGAGATTCTAGTACTATAGGCGGTAAAAAAAAAAAAAAAGATAAACGAGACCAGTTTAGGGCTTGATGAGCAAAACAGAAATCTATAATAAAAAATAGAGAATGATCAATGGCTATGTTAAGCGACTGCGTCTAGAAGACTATGAGACCTACATATAAAAAGTCCGAAACAATTAATAATATCACGAACGAACGAGCACCGCTTGTTTAAACACGTCGGCGGTTTTACACAGTTAAGCCTACGAACCCTCGAAAAAGGTCAGATTATTTACCTTTCCCAAGTTAGGGTTTAATTTTTGATTTTTAGTTACCGATACTCTGTGTCGCAATAATCTTTATTGCGACACCTTGTATTCTCACTCATATTACACCTGTTGTTACTGTAGTTTAGGGCGGGGTGGGGGGTGTTATTGTTACAATAATATATTTTTTTTACATTTTTTTATATTTTTTTAACATTTTTTTTGAGGGAATTCGCCTGTTCTCCAGGATACGGGAAAGAAGCAATTGCCACTGCACTCGAATACTCGGAACTAGAGAATAAAATTAAACTGTACGGCATAGATTAGCAGGAAAAGCTGCGTCTCAAGCCTGTGATTACGAGACTGTTACGCATGTACGTTTTTTTTTTTGTGAAGACATTGTGCAAATACCGACATAATCCGTAGTCAAAGGATTGATAACTAGTGTAATTTAGCCTTTTTAGTTTTTAACCTTAAATGAAGGAAAAGCATTATCGCTGTCCATCGACAATACCATCTGTGTAAAGAGCCTATGTTTTTATTTTAATTTCAAAGGCCACTGAACAGGATTTCGGTAGACTAACCACGAACAACAATCTAGAGTTTTACTTGTACAGTTGTTATTGTTACTTGTTGTGTTGTCTATATAATAAATGCCAGTAACATCTCACTCCTTTGGTACTAATTTATGCTGCCGAAAAGTGCTACGCTAAATTTAAACTTTTATGACTTCTATTGACAACAAGATACACATATTTTGACTAATAACGGACGTTTCCATCTTATTTCCAACTTTATTGCATTTTAGTGTATAGGGTGAAGTATCACAGAATATAAAATTGAAGAGAGCAATAAGAAGAACAGAGCGGAAGGTCCACAGACTGATTGCACCAGAAGTAAGAGAGAGGATATCAAAGAATGTAGTCCATGCGTATAGTTGAGCTTTGGTTGATGCTTGCCGTTTGTTATCTTATGCTTTCTAGTAGTTATCTTTCTTAATAATTTAGCCGCCTAATGCGCACAGTGGTCAAGTGACTGTGACACATCTTACTTTCCCAGATTTCCAATTTGTTCAACCGTAGTAGTGGCCGGCGCCGTGGGCGATTCCGTACCCGTAGCCATGAGCGATAGGGGCAGCGTGGGCATATCCGAGACCATGTCCATATCCAGCAGCGCCGAGGGCAAGAGGAGCCTTAGCGACGACGGGGGCAGCATAACTGGCATGGGCGGCCAGAGCAACAGGCGCAGCGATCGTCTTGGTGATGGCCGCAACGCCGGGAGTAGCGATCGAGGTGGCAGCTGCGGCCTGAGGAGCGGTTCCCGGCTCGTTGGTCTTGATCGAGGCGCGGAAACCGTGTCCATCGGCAACGTAGTTCACAACACGCTGGCGTCCGTCAATATCAGTAAGTCCGTACGAGCCAGCTACTCCCCAGGGGTTTCCAGCCTCCGATCGGAAAGTTCCGCCGGTGGCGTGTTTCTCGTTATAGGCAAATTTGTAGTTGCCAAGACCATCCTCGGCACGCGAACTCAATGAGGAGCCAGTGTGGAGACCGATACCGTGTCCAACGAGACCAGCGTAAGCCGACACAACGAGGGCGGCCAAAACAACGAATGCTTTCATGGTTGCTTATAGTGAGTGAGGTGGGTGTGTTTTCATGGTGGCAAACCTCCACAGTTATATAGCGGAGTAACCCGGCCTTGAAGACGCACCGGCTGCAAAACACTAACCAGCCCATTGGAGGCGGGGGGCATTCATAACTAGAAAAGCCACATGCTGCGGCTGCTCAACAGCACGGGCTGCTGTGTAAGCGCAATTGATTCTGCTGCTCTGACGTCCATCGTCCGTTGACCACACCACGGGCGCAGCGTTCTCTTAGCGCCAGACTGACGCGCCAAACGGAACCGTCTTTCTTACATTTTCTGGCTTATCGTCCCAGTTGGGGCAGGGTTAGTGGCATGAGAGCGAAATAATAATGAATATATTTCTCTTAGCGGCAGCGGCAAACAAATACTTTCGAAATCAGATTTCCTCCGGTTTTTTTCGTCGATTGGTTCGGAATGCAGAGCTGTCACTATCCGAAGTAAGTACTTCTGACAACGGCCTTCTGACAAAGCGAAGGCACGGAAAAAGACTAACTAAATTTAACTTGAAAGTAAACCAGTGATCAGATGTTTATATATTTGGAGAATTAACTAATACAACGGGTCGTATATTTAATGTATATATTGTACCTAGTTCATAGGTGGCGGAAAGGTTTTAACTGCAAGTTACCGAGACCATAAAAAAGGTCATACTATACTTATAAACTGTTTTTGCTAATAGATAACGAACGAGTACAGCATTTTCACTATCAGATCGGCCAATTCTTTAGACGAACTTTTCCCTGAATTTCCATTTTAGCGATCACGAAAATCAGTTGGAGTAGCGCAGTGGGACATAACCTACGCTCCCGTTACCTTTCAGCTCGCGGACTAATCCTGATAGATGAAGTAAATTTTAAGCAAAACACCGATTAAGCTATACAAAGCAAAATAAAAATAGATATTTGTTGAGCATACGCATGGTTATGTGCACAACACAGTCAAGTTCGATTCGATCAACAGCGTTCATGGAAAAGTTACTACAGTTTCTCACACTTAAACTTTGACTATCAGAGTTTTTTGTAACCCTGGCCGAACAATGACCGCGCCAAGGTCGCTTATACAGTAGGAGATTCCGTGTTGAAATAAATGGCTGAGCGTGCCATATGCTTGAATAGTACAAATGAAACGCTGGACGCTGACCTGTACCGCTCAATACCACGAAGATGATGATGACAACGGTGAGTCATTAATGGTTCTATTGCACTGGGTAGTCACTATATATGCTTTATTCTAGGGCTTAACTGGCGCTTCTCGAGGATTCACGGCTTCTGTGCCGGGCATCAAGCATAGTCAGTGAAAGGCCGTTTGAAGGTAGACCGCTTATTCCTGAAAGTAGCGGCGATATCGGCACCTCCGATGGCTACGGGTGCAGCTTTCGGGTCGGATCCAGATTTGAGCTAGCGATTTCAACCGATGCCGCTCTAGGTTCATTTGTAGATATCGATGCTCGGAAGCCACGAGCATCAGCCACGTAGTCAACGATGCTTTCTCGTCCATTTACAGGATGCAAGCTATAAATGCGCTCAGTGATGCCAGGCGCATCCTTCTCAGCTCGAAAGGACTATCTATCTTATAGCTACAACGATAACCGCTAGCCGTATTCTAACTGTGACTTGGAATCGATACATGTGATACTTTTACATGCTGATGAGTCGTCCCCTTTATTTATTATGCACATCGTGTTGCCAAAAGCCAGCAAACCCTGCAAAAAGGCAAAAACCACATTGTGGTATATGAGCGTAAAGAACTTACTGTCACGGCGTTACCACAAAACTTGTCCAAGTTAATACTGTTTTTGTTTTAAAATATCGGGGACAGAACAATAAATACAATTAACTAGTTCGTCTAATGCAGCATCGCGTCAACGAGAGTTTTCTTTTAACACGTATCTCGATATTCAATACATAAGGCACATAGGCAAAACGGGCAAGTCCAACGTTCCTCATATGAGTTAATGATTTCTGGCAGATGACACCTGACGAGTTCGCATGATTTTGGTCCTCACTTAAGCAGAAGTTACTTTTCACTATCATTAGACAAAGAGATACGCCACAGATAGCAGTAGTTGACGTACGTAGGTACAAAGGTGGAAGTGAGAAGAATATATATATATAAGATGTATATATATGTATAGATAGACCGCAATTGTCACAGAATGACCGCGATCCAGTCACAGAATTTCGGTCAAAGCGAACACGACGCGCATATGACTTCACAAAGGTGAAATGTTTATTTGTGAAGAATGTGCTTCGTGGGTCACTAACGGGTAGCCCGTTACAAGCATGAATATTCAGCAGGGATTAAACGATAAACCGTCCACTAATAAATAACACTGATCTAACCTTCTAATGTAATATAGTGTTGAAGCTTTAGGTTTTCATTTTTACTCAGTGTCCAGTACCGATAAATAATATATACGGGCTAACAGCGTAATAAGATCATAACTGATATACGAATAAGACATTAATTTTTGTTAGAAAAAAGATGTCCGCTTCTATATCGGCTTCTTTCTATATATATATATAATATCCTGCCTTCGACGGAAAGTACTTAGAGTAGTTTTTTTTTTTTTCTTTATTCATTATCAACGGTTAGATCAATTTTATGCCAGCATTACATATTTTATAATATATTTTTCTCTTATTTACATTTAATACAAGTACATATAACGCGCATCGTTTATAGGGTCTTCGCATTGACCTGTGCCAGTAGACTATCAATCCATACTCTACTGAAGAATGTCTGTGAGGCCGTTTAAAGCCATAGCAAATGATGGGCCCAGCAAGTAGCAAATAAGAAGTTCAATAGGAGCAATGGCATGTAAAAGCTCAACTTTCAACATTATTATTATATTCAATTACAGCTGTATGGTGTAATAAAATTTTATTAATAATGTACAAAAATAAACGGATCCTGAAGCCAATCTTTGCTCGGAAAACTTTGCCATAATATAGAGACAGCCGTTAAAGTTTTTTTTTTCAAGGAAATAATAGTGCGCGTATTGTGTCTAAATGGAACTACAGAGAAGATAACTTCAGAGGTAGTATTTCAATATATCTAGCCTTAATCGCAAAATTTCATACAAATTTACTATAACACAACGATATGTAACGGTTATGAGTGAAATGAGTTCGACTGGGTAGTGCCCGATTTGTACTACTATTCTGAGAATATTTTTGGCATACCACAGATTTCTGTTAAAAAAAAAAAAGTAGATCCGTCGAAAGAATTACATCGCGTAGAGAACGTCTTACCTCCATGTTCCTTATTTAGATTTTATTTACGCCCTTGGCAACATGCCTAATTCTACGATTCGACTACCTACTTTTTACTGGGGTATTTTGAGTAGCAAATATTGCGTTTAACTTTTTAACGTGCCCAGTAATGTCTAGCCAAGGAAACAAGCTAGGGGCAACGTATTTTTTAGTATCTCAAAGTTGCTTCTATGTCAGGAGCGAATCTATATAAATAAACGTTTTTCAAGCTATCTAGCGAAAAAAAGTTAGGTGACCGTGTTTTAGCATATCTATCGATGACCTACCAGTTCTTATATTCGATAATTTCGATACAAATATAGGTACCTAGGTCCAATTATAGATATTTGCACATAGATACCTAATATAGGAAGACACGCGCTAGCAAAATAACATGCTCTCTGTATAATTTTTAAAAATGCCTTTTAAAAGTGTACAACAAAGATCAAATAATGTTGAGTTTTTTTCCCAGTAGAAATCGTAGTCTTACAGCGTACTTCTATGGTAATATATATCATACTACTGAACCACACTGAAATTCTATAGTTTTATCGATGCAGAAATATTAATGTTAACTCAGGTGATGGAGATACCCCTGAAACTGTTCCAGATATCTGGAAAAAAATCTTCGAAGACTGGATTTTTGTTATAAATAGAGAAGAGAAACTAGAGTTTATCATCAAATGATTAACATGTGCCGATAGAATATGGTAGTACAAAAAAAAAATAGTTTTTATTTTGTCACTGCACTATGTCTCTCAAATAGATGTGACGAAAAAAAGGGATTCGGAGCGAACAGACAAGTTATCGTTCCTTCGTAACAATCCTTCATAACACTGACTCTGTATATATCATCAGAAAACCCTAAATTATGTCAGTATGTTACGTCTATTCTCTTAAAATAAAGCCGTTAATGCATCTATCATATCTTCTTAACCTATTTGCAAAGTTCTTCCCTTTTTGTGAGATGATTCTATGACTTGAGCATACATTTTGCATTATTTTGACTGACAATAAGCCTGCTCCTGCTCTAGAAACTGCTCCAGCAGTAAAAGTATGTACTGTTGATAGGTTCTCAAGACACTTTTCAATGCTTGTATGGTATATAGGGAAAGTTCTGTGCGACAGGCTATACGAAGAGTTGCGCCATGCAAAATGCATATAAATGGCCACCACATGGCTAAACTCTATCCAATCAGATACGACCCTTTTAACGAAAACGGATGAGATAGGCGGTAATCGTATGAACGCAAACTGGCACTGAAATGGATTTCTCCAACGCAGACATTAAACGTCAGAAACGAGTAGGTATCTTCTGGTGCTTTGATTTGAAATGGGGGTTTTGTGGTGATGCGAGGGCGGAAGAGAAAATGGGCGGTACGATGACAAGCATTGCATCGTTTCCCTCTTGTTGTCGGTGTGGACAAAAAGAAACCATGTTTCTTATAACAAGCCTGGAACTGGATGAATGTGCTGGAAGGGGCAATAAAACCAATCGTATAATAAATGTAACTGAATGGTCATCATTAACTAAAGCTTTCTGTTGTTTAAACAGTATGACAGAGGAGTTGTTTATTTCTAGTCGGCGGACTGAGCCAAGCTCACGATACTTACGGTGGTTGGATAATAACATATTTAATAATAATAACAGGAAAATAACGAGGAAACATTTTCGACATATTCATGTAGCGAGCTGGTCTGCTATAGTTGACAGCAAACTCAGCTCGTCACGACCATAATGCTTTTTGTGTGTAGTAGTCCAGGATTCTCACCGGAAGTTATTACACGAGCTTGCTTCTGCATAGTTTTCTTTCAACTTGTATTTTTAGCGTTTGAACAAATCATCTCTTCGACAAAGCACCAAATATTTGTTCTCGTTAAAAGCTTTTTGAGGCTTTAACAAACTTCGGAAGCGACATGGCAATCCATAGAAACGGTGAACTTTAAACCAGCACTGACGACCTGCTTATGGTTACGGCGGCAACGTACTCGAAGGGGTGCCGATAAGCCATCCAGATCATGTCGTGTTCTGTATAGTAAAGAGGCAGTGTACAATGTCCATGCCAATCCACTGTCACCTACAAAATAAAGTTTAGTAGAAATACTTACTTTAACTTAATCAAGTTATGCACACTTATATACATATGAACTATTTAAAAGAAAATAGCTTTCGAATTATGCATGTGCCAGTCAAGCATTTATTTATATTGAACAAAAAATAATGCTGGTAGAGGGCAATTACAACTATCCTGATCGCTTGTAGCCGTTATATAACTGCATTAAAAATGTGACATTATCAACACCACGAGCTTTGAGCCGATTGGTTAGTGTTCCCGTTTCAACATACGCCCGTATGGGCTAAAGGCAAAGGAAATGAGTCCGCCATATTTGTGCAACGACCAGTCTAGCTTACCCAGTGCGGAAATTTTGAGATAAGCTAGTTGTTGATCGGCGTTTGCTTGTCAGTAGGATTCATTCGATTGAAACAATTTATCTAGAACGCTACACAGCCTGAGTGAGGTTTACTGTTAGAAGATAACACGAACATACTTCCTGCCGTCCCTCATTAAAACAGCTGTACTTAATTCAGCAGAATCCCAATCAGGAGCGGGGGGGCGTGAAACTGTCCCGGATCAGTTATCGTTGACGGTCGCGGATAACTAGTAGAGTACAGAGCTATGAAGAGTTCTTAGTTTATGTGAGTCTATCTCTTGCGATGTCTGCAACGACCAATACGATCTTACAGGTATATCTAGCAGACGGATTACATCGTAAACAAATCGTCCCCATCGCTGCAGAAAATTATCTTTTTCTTTGCTTAGCCTAGCTAAACCGGCAGTAAAACGAGTGGTTTGCTTCCATCCCTCCAAAGATCTTCCGAGTCTTTGGCCAAGATTATTGACCTCTACGGATCGCTTTTGTAACCGTAACTATGCTTACTTAGTATTACTGTAGATGCTAGAGGTTTCTTCCTTGAACATGCAGAGATATTATAATTCTATATCTAATCTCTAACGGAACAGTTATCCTTACAGACCGCAAAAATTAATTTTCTGTCGAGTTTCAAACGACAAGGGCACATAGATCGGTACAATCTCGTCATCGTCACTTCCGCGCTTGGCGCACATACTATCGTCATAGGTAAAACTGACAAAGCTCAATGCCAGCAAGGAAACAGCTTGGTTTTTTCCACCTCGTTCAATGCTATCGATTCTGCGCAACAGTTTCTTTTCGTTTCGTCATTCTATTCGAGATGATAGAATTATATAATTTAACACACGATTCATATATATATATATATATATATACCTTGATCGTCACGATTCCGCTGTACGCGACAGTTAGTCTTTTACCATTCCCCGATAGTTTAGCTAACATCAAAAAAAAAGCAAAGGATACAGATGTTTTTTTTTTCGAAAGGAAACGATTCTAAAACGAAAGTTATGACGTCACCGCTACAGCTCAGCGGACATACATATACGTTTAGCTTAGTTAACGTAAAGTTAAATGCAAAATGGAGAAAGATTTTCACGTCTCGAATTCGATTGCTCCTAATTTCACCAGTACCAATCCAAGTATTATTTGTATCAACCAATATTCTAGCATGATACATCATTCGTTTGTACTAACCTATTCATCGTAGAGTTTAAAATCGAAGCTGCTAAGATAGCAATATTTCTCCTTTATAGAGAAACCAAAATCAACGAAAGCTAGTTAGTTGAGACGCCACTGGGAAAAATCGTAATTATTACCTTGTTTTTTTTTTTGGTGTTTGTGATAGAGTCCGACGTGAACGAGCTGACATCTACAAAAGAGCGTAAATCGCACCTTGACTGTTGTATAATAACGCCCAGTTTATGTGCGGTCGAAATTTACGTCGAAATAGCGCCCAACGCGTGTTATTGAAATAGATATTTTCCTTAAAAACACTAAAATGTCAAAAGCCATTGCACACAACCTTACATAAGAACTGTAATTAAATAGAAGAAAATCACAGCCGTTATTGGACATGTGAAACATTTACAAGGAGGAGAAGCGCTTATTAGCAACATTTGTTTGTTACTGCTTTTGCTCTAGTTATAACAATCGTAATAGAATATTTGCTCGGTATTTACAACAAGTTACCGTAACAAGTCAGACCTTTAATTTACCAGATACAAACGCTTTTAACTTAAACAGTTATTCGAGAACTTGCATGATTCGCATGGCGCCTACAATCCATACGGGAGTTCGATTTTTTTGCAATATTATTTTCTGCTACGAAAATACAGATCCTTTTTTCGTAAACAGGCGTCATTTTTATTAAAAGCATATTCAAATTAATAGCAACGAGCTTCGAAATTACCCGCGGTGTTTCCTAGTGTATTGTAAAGCCCTTCGAGAAAGTCTTTTACCACAAGGCCAAATGTTGATTTAATAAAGAGATGACACAAAAAACATTTAAAATCTCGAGTTATTAGTGTTTACTAACTCCTATCTATTTCATATTCGAATTCAATTTCTTACCTAAACAAGGCCTCTGTCAGTAAATATTCGTTAATATATTTAAGTTAAGCTTATTTGGGGGATAGTAAAAAAGGGACTCTTTACTAAGCTGACCTGTCTAGCGATGCTTTCAATTTTATGCTGTTTGTCGGTACACTGTAACATTAAAACGCTTACTAATTTAGTACAATATATTAAAAATAAAGTCCTGATGTCAAATGTCGAGCAAATGTTGTCCGTGGAAGCATAGGGCCATGTAAATCAAGCCATTTCCTAATTTGTTTAATTTGGATTTTCTGTGGTGACTATGAGCGTTACGACATTTTAGTTTTTCATTTAACGTTGTATTATAATGAGTTGTTTTTGGTCTATTCGTTGTACCAGTCGGGTAGAATGTAAAAAAAGCTAAATGTGAACCGTAATTGCAAGACATAACTTCAATATGATAGGCATTTTATACAAATTGCTTAATGATTCCTTTTTAAATACATCATAGAGACGAGGACGTGAAACCAACCATGAGGCATATCCTTCAGAACTGTTCTATGCTATCGGACGTACTATGCGTACGCTTTATAGCTTGATACTAGCAACCGCTCAACTTATACAAGGCTACGTATATATATATATAATGGCCGCATCTCCCTTTGAATGAACGCATAGTATGAACTTGTCAACTCACTTCTCGCATAATCTTTTTGAAGTGTTTATTGGCATTCTGGCGGACGCATACGGTCAAAGTATTTTCGAATTTTTGGCCAAATCACAAACTGTCTTTGTAGACTAATATCCCGAGCCGTGGTAGCCGATTCCATGAGCCACCCCATATCCGTAGCTATGGGCGATAGGGGCAGCATGGCCATATCCGAGACCATGTCCATATCCAACAGCCCCGAGGCCAAGGGGAGCCTTAGCGACGACGGGGGCAGCGTAACTGGCATGGGCAGCCAGAGCAACAGGCGCAGCGATCGTCTTGGCGATGGCCGCAACGCCGGGGGTAGCGATCGAGGTGGCAGCTGCGGCTTGAGGAGCGGTTCCCGGCTCGTTGGTCTTGATCGAGGCACGGAAACCGAGTCCATCGGCGACGTAGTTCACAACACGCTGGCGTCCATCAATATCAGTAAGTCCGTATGAGCCAACTACTCCCCAGGGGTTTCCAGCCTCCGATCGGAAAGTTCCGCCGGTAGCGTGCTTCTCGTTATAAGCAAATTTGTAGTTACCAAGACCATCCTCGGCGCGCGAATTCACCGAGGAGCCGGTATGGAGACCGATACCGTGTCCACCGAGAGCAGCGTGAGCTGATGCAACCAGGACAACGAAAAGGATGAAAGCCTTCATGATTCTGATTAGGATTAGTTGTAGACGGTGTCGTACGCACCGCTCGACAAGTTTATATAGCACCGCTCCGACAGAAAAGGAATTATCGCTCAGTATCGTTGCCAGCTCGTCGTCTAGCGCTAACCACTCCTAACTAAAAGTGGTTACTGCCGATCCTCATTGTCTACACAGGCGTTGACCATCGGAGCGCTCCAAATGTATGTATAGTGGGAAGGCATTTGTCTGTTCATCTCGAAGGCATTCCGAAAGCGTAGCCGTCACCTTTTTCCATTCATTATATTATTATGCAGCCGTCCGCCTCGTGAACTACTAGTGATACGTTCCGGCGTGGAATTTTCGTTTCTGAAATGTATTTATAATCTATTTTTTTAATGTACTGTAAGAAATCGGTGTTTGGACATGTGCAAGATCCTTACAATTCACCCTTGAGTTGCATATTCATCAAACGTTGTATTTGGAAATTCTTTAAGTATATATATTTTTCTTACTTGCTTCAAGTACGCTGTGCACGGGCAAATTATCTATCCAGAAAAAGTACTATTGCGTTCTCTTGGTACAAATATCAAGACAGCATAGCAGTGCCATGCGCCCGTGATAGGTTAGTGGGCAGCGTCTTTGCGTACTAGTTTTAGGGCCAAGCGGCTGTGTACAATAAATTCGGACATACATGCCCTAGATTTCGTGCTTGGGCTGGCCGTATCGAATGGAAAACTCGAAGCATTTCATTGCTAGAAAAGTAAAGATGTGCTTCAGCAAGGTGATAGCGGGGGGCTCTCTGATGCTACACGAAAAAGGCAATTCTTCGAAATTGTTCTCGCAAAAAAAGACAGTTAGTAAGTGTGTAGCTCTAAAAAAATCAGACCTGTGACTCTACAAGGAACCTCAATCGGCAAGCAAATCCTCAAACTACTTCAAGATTTCGCCAGCTAATTATAAAAAAATTGTTACGCAGTATTGACGTCTACCTTTACAAAGGCGGTATGACTGGATGGTGCGTTTCTGTCTACCATGCTGGTAAATTGTTATCTCAGTCAGCGCGGTCAATTAGAATGTTCATGTACTGCAATGACGTTGAAAATACCAATCAACGTTTATGTTGACAATAACAACTGATTGGAATGCAGCTAAATCTTTCGTAACGGTAAACAATGATATAGCGACATTTTGTAACGCATCTCTTTAGCTAGATAGCGATGTATTTGAGTTGAGTAAAAATCTGTTTTACAGATGCCAAGGCATGGTGCTTTGCTTTTTGGTCGCGCAAGGGATCAATTTGACACTTTTAACCTTCATACAATATAAAAAAGTGGCGAACACAAAATCGAAATCGAGATTTAGGTACGATGAAATTTATTCATAAATTAGGTAAAAAAAAGTTAATTCAAAGATCACTAACGTGAATAAGTCTCAATTAAATAAAAGCATTATTGAAATATTTTATAGTTATATATATATATTACTAATTGTGATCAAAATGTTTGTAAATAACACGAAAGCTAATAACCGTTTACTGCCCTCTGGTAAATTTCTGCAGTACTATCTGGCTAATAATAACTTGTGCCCTTAACCGTGCGTAGGCCATAACCGTGCCTTTTTCACTGTTACTAGAATCATAGACGATACCGCGTTGACTCATACGCAGCCGCAAAGTAGCAGCTATTACGATTCATTTTGTCCTTTTTAAATACGTTGGCGCTGCTATTCATGCACAATATAACAAACTGTAATCGTATGACAAAGCGAGGCTGACGCCGAAAATCTAAAAAACGCGGTACTTCGAAGCGTATGGTCGCTATCTAGAATATGGAGGTAACCTTTAAAATGGAAATTGCTGCCAAATGATAGCTAGTGATAGAGGTTCACTTGAGCTTATCACGCGCTTTACAGCCGCTTCGCTCTGCTTAGAGCTGTGTATTTATTCATGAATTCGTATAATCATTTTCGTACCGTTACAAGTATGTTCTCATCTTCCGGTCTATTTACTCGAATGCCCGATGGATTTGACTTCACGTTGAACTGCACAGTATTTCTCGGGGTCTTTTTGCGTGCGTGTCGGGGAGGCACAACTGGCGACCTTCCACGTGACCGAGGTGGCCTTGTCCGAACCTACCATATTAGCAACTGTTCACTCCACCCAAGAGGGCCTTTCAGCAGCAATTCGCGGATCTCTGATTAATGGAGTAAAGAAAACCGCATTTTCCTAGCTCTTTCCCTTGAACCAGCATACATCATATGGACTCACTCACGTACCCTAGCCCACATCCCACTGCCCGAAATGTAGTACGCCATCAGTCAGCGTACGGTGCTATTAACGACCGGGTCGCCCGACGTCAAACTGGAAACACTAAAGCCTCAGCTAGTTCTGGCGGGCCTGGTCGTGATTCCCTCAGATACAGTGTGTCTTTGTTGAGGACAAACTCAAGGTACATATATATATTACCGCCGCCGAGGACTGGCTAGTTGATGCGCCATGATCGATGCACTGAGGATGGCATTTTTAATGGCAGGTATACGGGTTGAGGGGGTGGCAGGACGGCTTTTAAACGTCACAGTCTCCCTTGCGCCGTCCTTAAAATAGAATCAAGCGTAGGCCATTCGTTGCAAATATCGGCGCCTATCTCAAAACCTGCTGTAATGCCAATTTTCGATCCCTCACGAGTGGCGCTCGTACTCGTTAACCCATCACCTAGGATCCCTCTCGTTGAACCCAACCAGAAGCGCCTCCCAATCAGCTGGCTGTTCGAGGAACTCTTTAGCGATTTCGACCATATTAAGCACTATCGTCCTGCTACTACCATAATAAAGTGGATTGACCTAGTTTGTTGTTGGCTGGCAGGAATGGACACTTCACAGTCACTCGCTTGGCGCATAGACATACATATATATTAATTAATTAATTAATTAATATCGTGATTTTTACACCATCATACTGGAAAGCAAATAAGGTTGAAACACGCGCAATACTACGAAAACCAATGTGATCAAATAGAGGGGATTCGTATGAAATACAAGGCGATAATTAATTGGATCGAAGTGTTGACACTACTCGTCTATGAAATATGCATATCGGCTTTATTCGTCACAGAATCGATTTTAGCGGAAATATGAGTAATGTTTATTGAATCCATCCATTGTCGAATTCACGTCGGGTGACCCATCCAGTAAACTCGCTATCGCGGCACCCATAATGGCGAACACAAACTTAAATAATTTCTAAACTAAAACGCACTGTGTGCACAGTGCGTATATTAAGCACGCAGTCGTTCTAATACTTTCACCATAGAAAAAAGTTACTTCTAACGTTAACCTTACGGACAACTTCATAGGTACACGACCTTGTCGATTCGGACACAGCCTGCAGCAGTGGAATTACAAAGCCAACTTAGGCTACCTGCCGGTTTGTCATGCCAAGCCGCAGATGAGGGACACGTTACATTGTTCTCACTGAGATATACCTATTTTTCTCGTTCATATTAAATCCACGAATTCGAAGTTGGCTTGATCATTTAACGGAAGCATTAGCAAGATCTTTCTGAGAAAAAAAAAACAACAACAAATAATTACCCCAAATGTAGATGAAACGTGTAGAACGTCGTGCATCTGTCCATTAATTTCAAAATTTAATTATGCCATGAGTCAAAAAGTTGGTTGCACTCATTCGACTGTGTCAGCGAGTATATCGAACATTACAAAATAAACATAAACACTTACCGTCTATTGTTAAAATTAGTTCGTAAGCTGTTCTTTCATACAAGTTTAGCAGTAAGCTTCGAAAGATCGATTCTAAACAGCTATACTGTACTTCAAAATATGACCAGTTTACCGGTGGGTCGCTTAAAAAAAAAATAGTATTTGGGGGTTTGTGGCGGTCATTGCTAAAGTTTCATGCTATGCTGGGCAGTGCCTGCAGTAGGCAAAGCTAACATTTGTAAACCCACACATGCGTGTATATCTTGACTGTGAAGCAGTTCTGTGGTGCTCCAAGGGTATCTTGCAACTACAAACAAATCCTGCGACTCGACGTATGGCACCGCGTCAAATAAATGCCTTATCTGATTCGTCGATATGGCAAGTCTAATGTTAGACTAAATATGAGCGTCATGCCCAATACTATTAGACGTTACGAAGCATTCTTTATTAAAAGGAATTCAGATACAGACGTTTCACGCATCGCAACTATAAAATAATTATATGCTTTACAATGTATATTTTCATCCTAAATATAGCGTTAGGTATAGGGCAAGGTTAGCCGCAGCACAAAAACAGTAGAAAAGTGAGGGCAGTCTAATGCTGACGACGGGAGCGGAAAACGTGAGTTGGAGGTTGTTTGTTATTTGCTCTTCGTCGTTTCGACCCTCGATGAGCAACGTAGCCCTCTTAGCAAAACCTGGGTGCTGTCCTCGTTCAACTTGCGGCACGTACGCGGTCATCAAAATGTTGGAATCCGTATAACTAAAAAAGCAGAAAGTTTGTAAAATATGCAGAACCGGTTTAGAGTAGAGACTACCAGGTTGATTTCGAAAAAAACAAGGGGACTTTGGAGCCATTTGCCACAAATGGTATTTTTACTCGCAGAGCTTGGATGCAAAATTGGGTAGTTTTGTTAGTACCCCTTGGTTTGGAAGCAGCGTACTCTTTGCTGAGATTATCGTAAAAGCTTTCTGAGTGGTGGCAATCGTTGAAGAAAGGTCAAGTGAAAAAAGAAGTACGACCATGTTTAAGGCTTTGTTAACACCGAGTCGATCCAGCAACGCTTCACGGATCACAGAACTTAGCTTTGCTTGGGCAGAGGAGATGTAGCCCATGCCATTTACGGCAATCGAATTTGGTGATGAATGTATCTCTAGAGAGTATTGCGTTGTCAGCTGTCCAGTAATTTTTTTTTTAATTTTTAATTTGAGTTGCCTGTTTCCCAAAGCTCATATGGCGACTATAATATTATTTTTTCTAAGCTAGCAAATAAATATTTTTTATAATAGATAAGAGCTAATGTGGTAAATTGTTGAAACCTCGTTAATTCTTATACCTGCAAGCCATGCCTCGACAACGAAGACATCCTAATTACTATTAATGGATAAAACCATACTGATTACCCTAACTATGTCGACCAGAGACATTTTATTATGTGTTCATTTTAGTTAATCACACCTGTCGTGTAGTATGTGGGCTTGAGCATTTCGTTTTATGAAAACACAAATGGCCTTATCTTTTAATCTCAGTATTGGCTATTTCACAGAATATCTAGGACACCTTTGCCTTATCTAGATTGAATCGTTGCTGTTCAACATGATAACATTAACTTTCACCAGTAAATGCGAGTCTTTCTGGTGCTTATTCTTCCTGCTCAGTTGTTGCTGTGTGAATTACACAGGAACCTTTTTTTGATCCATTTCTAGTCACGCCTGGAGCTGATCTGCAGGATCATGAAACCATTTCATTTTACGTAATCGTAGCTTATATGCGTCTAATATATAATGAAGCCGTCTAAAGATTACGGCAAATCTTCTAGCTGGGCCTTGGACTAATAAAGGAGCGAATAGAAATTTACAATTCTTATGCGGTCTTCTCCGATCGATTTAATGCGGTTGCAAAAGAAATCAATATAAAATGATTTAGACGATCCTGGAAAATTGGCTAACAGATCATGTCCTCAAAGTTCTAGAAGCTATTTCATAATTTTAATGTTTTAAGTATCTTCTATAGCGCCATCTATAACTAAAATTAATCTAGCTTCGTATTGCGTTATTGGCAGATAGTATACAGCCTTCAGAAACTCAGTATGCACTTCATATTCTGTTCCAGCACCGAACTCAATCTCAGGTCATTTAGGTATTTCAGGGAGTCGATTAATCAAAAAAGACTATCGGATTTCCAAATTTACCTGTTTTCTTATATCCACCAAAATTATAATATTTCTCCCATTTTTTTAAGGAGTTATGCATTGACGCACTGTTCGAGATATTCGGAACTTTTTTGTCCAAAATAGCCCGTGTATTGATTTGCGCAGACTAGTAATCAGATTCATCGTAAACTAAAATATTGCTGGGTTCCATCCCAGCAAATGGACTTAATTCTGTCAGCATCTTCATTACCTGTAATATCGTAAGTATGCCTAAAATTATGCACAAAACCATACGTTAAAACCTAAGGCATTTCACACTAGCTAAACCCGATACATACATAGTTACATGGCCTAGCGCGCACCTCGCGAGTTCGGTAGTAGTAAAGTCCAAAATGATTCCATAGCGTGGGGAGGTGCACTACGCCGAATGTTGGCCTAGAAAAAATATTGAGATGTATCTAAAACATTACGTTATATGGAGACACAGCCACTCTATACTTTTAAACCATCGGCTATTAGAAAAATATTTGTCACGACTAAAAGATGTATTTCTCGTTGAAGATAATAAGCAGAGGTTTATTATACTGAACCCTCACGTGCATCCAAACTACGCTAGATTATGTTCACCAGTATCTGGGTGTTCATTGCCAAGCAGTTTACTTATGGACAACGTCTTTAATCCTATTCAAAAGCCCCCAAATTATTGTAGGCCAACTCGTTCGCACTATACGGTCGGCCATCGGAGACTGTTAGTATCGAATACGCCATGGTCCACGATGAATACCTATGGTGTTAGCCATGCATGCCGAGGAATCATGACGAAGCCTTCTTAAAGCACGTAGGAGCATGGACCAAGCTGTGAAAACTATACCATCTCGGCTTTGATGAAGAAATTGGGAACGGAGATCGATGGTTAAGTGATCTTTGAGAACGTTGGGGGTAGACCAAATAGAGCTAGATGTTGTTAACACTTCAACAACCAAAAAAAAAAAGGATAATTTTATAGAGATAATCGCATTGTAGAACGGGATCCAAGTACTGAAAAAAGTTTTTCGCCGTACAGCCCTCATGAATTGAAATTAAAGACAAAGGTTTGCTCGACCCTATTATGTTTAAGCTAGGCAGTTGTTGGTCGACCTGCTGGTTGACCTTCGTAGGACAACAGAGAAAGATGAAAACGTTATCTTTTACTGTTTTTCTGTTGAAACATCAGAAAAGAAACACGGCTATATTTATTTAGAAGTCATCTAGTCGCAGGAGCATCATGCAGATAGGTACACCTAATTGACCTTGCGAACACAGGATGTTCTAACTGTTTCTATCGTTTCCACCGCCAGGTGTCTGAGATCACTGTATTAACCAAGTGAGGCATGCGAAATCCCTAACAATCATTTTAACTAGCATGTTAAAATTGATTGTCACTACAGATTTGTTCTCTCTATTAAAATGACCGATATAAAAAAATGAAAAAACATATTGGCACACATCGTTCTTCACAGGATGACACTCGCTGGGGATCAGCCGTTTTGTCATGTATCTCTGTCACTGTTCCAGTAGGTCCGACTAATTACAAGGTATACACCAGCCGAACGAATAATTGTAATCTGACTAGCAATGGCTAAGACAAATCCGTCATTTTGACTTGCGTTCGATTTCATGCAAACTCTGTTTGAATTTTTGGCGCTAATAAAATTTTCAAATTACTGATGTCGGCTGCTCCAACCTGCAGCAGTAGCGGCGGCACCATGGCGTTATCACTGTGAGCGGGCGAGCGTGTGTGTGTCTATGGTTTCACCCTTTCCGACACCGTGTCCCTTGCCGATTTCTGCCACCGGCTTCATTAGACAGGGCGTGCGCAGTCCGACCCTTTCTCGGCAAGGAGCCGCAAACTGCTCGTGTACCGAGAAGCAGAATCCACGAAAAGCGGGTGGCGACGGTTGAAACTGCCGGGCGTTATTTCTTGCTGTTCTTCACCATTGTGCGTTACTAGTATAGGAATATCAGGGCATAACACAGCTGCAGATTATCGCACAGAACATTGTCTCTTTCGCTCTCTCTCTCTGTCTCTCTCTCTCTCTTTATCTGTCTGTCTCTCTCTCGCTCTCTTTCTCTGTTTCTCTCTGTGATGCACGTTGCAGAGGCCGCCGGTGGGGCGACCTACATTAGTGTCAAAACGAAAAGCCTCTACTGCGATCGTAGCTAGTGAGCTGTGGTGGACATTGAATGTTACGGTCGTGGCTTATTCTATCATTATCCTATCTTCACCCAGGTGGCATTGCCACCCAGAACCGTTGAAGGACGTTGGTGACGCCAACAAGTTTGTAAGTAGTGCAAGCGGGAATGCACCACTTGTGATATAGGCTACTACTTAACGAGACAAAAAAAGGCCCGGTCCACATCTTGTGTGTAAAGACTGTTAAGTAAGTTGAACGGCGCTTTCCTGTCAAGTTTTTTGCTTCTGTTCCCGCAACAAAAAAAAGGAAACGTTGCTACCAGGCAGTGAAGTTAAGTTTAAGTGACATTGCGTGTGTATAATCCCAGAGCCTTAAATAGGGTTTATCGATGCTGTAGAAGTTTGATATAGCTGGTTCGTAACCTCTGGTTTCAGTTAGAAAGGCAATTAAGTCTTAGTGGACAGCAAGCGTTGCTACTGCTAAGCGTACGGTATATATACTCCTTTATAAGTCAGTATGGATTACTTCACCCGTTAAACTGTGCTACTCCAACGAGTGGCAGCGTCAACAGATGATCGTGCATCTGATCGTGTACTGATAAACATTGGATACATAGATATCGTTATAGTTCTACTTCGACCTACTGAAGGGTTTCCGTCTTCCTATTGTAACTACCAGGTGAGCAGGCGCAGGTATAGCAGTATATGGGGTCCGTTGACTCGCCTCCGAGCTATTCCATATACTTACCTTCTTCTTATAAGTATCATCGTACTTGGGGAGATCGATAATTTGGCCATAGTAAAAATTTAATAAACACAATGCCTAGTTACAGCTCATCTCTTATTCGTGCTTTGAAGACGAACTTCCTGCTCTAGCAGCAGCTGTCTCTTTCAACAAATGATCCTTTACATAGATATTTTAGTTGGGTGTCATCTGCTAAATCTTCTATTCAGTTCATGTTTAGGCTTAGATGAGCGGAGTTGCTAGCATGTCGGTTATTTTAAATTCAAAAACCGTGAGCGACGTTCGGTCATAAAGCAAGTCAGGCTAAACAGTCGTAAGGCTCGTTTGCAAAAGTGTGCAAATATAAATCAATCGCTATAATTTGTTTGTACAAAACATACACTTGTCTATTTATTTATAGTGCATTAATGGAAAGAGTTAAAACACTATGCAATACCAGTACATCATCTTCAACTAAGCTTCACATTTTCGCTTCGTCAGCTAACGCAAACTTATTATTAAGAATAATCAGACCATTAAATAGATCGAGTACCCGTATCAAGACGCCAGCCGGTCAACTAGAATCGAACTAAGCTAAGTATACCAACCATCGCATGAAGTGTTTACGTATATTTGTATGCCTCGAACGCCTCGCGGTGACTGATCCAGACAGCTATACATGACATAAATCAACGTTTCATAGCTGGAAGGTAGCGTTTAGATCTGCATCTGTATCTAGATTTAACGTGACTATAGATTAGCATGGTCATCAAGCCAAACGAATCGTGGCGCTCGAGCCTCACATGAGCGATCCTTCAGCTGCCCCAGTACGCGTATGCGGTGACAAAAGGTACTTTAGGGATGCTAACAGATTCAAGCGTGCTACAGACAACGTTCAACGAACGGCTCAAAACTGTGCACGGGCAAGCAACTGACAAACGCGTGCCTCCCCACCGCGAATCTATACATACTAATAATGTTTATTTTAATTTATTTAACTTAATAGTAATCAATAAATCATTTTGCCACGTTTACCTATAGACATAGCAAAACTAATTCCTTAGTCAAATGGCAATAGAATTATCTCTGAATGAAATCTCTGATCTGATATCGACGCACTTACGGTCCAGGAACGTATGTATTCATATGAGTAATGGATACGTAATTATATATGTGATAGATATATTCTCTTGACAGTAAATAGTAGCTTCACAAAGGTGTTCCTCTCGCTAATTCATATAGCTGCTTCAAGATGGATACTGAATCTGGTCAGTGGAGCGTTCAATTGATTACAGATGGCAGCCCACCTAATATAATTATGATAATTGAAGGCCAACACTAACTATCGATATTTATTTTTACTATTCTCTCTGTAGCATTATTATTGAGCGCGCTGTCACCTATACACGTTTGGGTCGCGTAAAATTAAACTTACGCTACCGGCTATTGTGCGTTACCATTTTCACACCAGTTATTGAGCCACAGGTGTCGGTAATTCCGTCTTTACGACATGCGAAATAACATAGTTATTAATGGCGCACTTGACGGCCATCAAACTGCCTATGTAGGACGTCTCTGTTTAAAAGGTCCCTATTTATTTGAATGTATTTATTAGGTTTAAAGGTAAAAAACTACCTGTTCATCAACTGCCGAGTGGAATCTTTGATTTGATTTGCCTACAGTAAATAAGTCCATAACTCCTTTTGAAAGGACATAAAAAAGTACAACTACGATCTATCGATTTCGACCACGCGTATATTGTAGCTTTTCGTCAGATCAAAATAGTCTAAAACTGTTGTTTGTCGATATTGCCCGAACAAACGCTACACTTCCTCTTGTGTCGTTTAAGCTGCCGAAAAGCCTTTTCGGTAACTTAACTTCTGTTCTCGTGTTAACCAAATGCGCAGAACTGAAGTGCTGTGTCGTCACTGTCTCCATCGGACGAGTAGCAGAGCAGCCCTACGCCCGAGTGATAAAAACGCTTGTGATTCATACGCGCGGTAGTCAAACCATTGTGGTAGTGCAGCTGCTGTTTTTTGGTGGCAATTTTGAGGAATAGGCACTTAGCACCAGTCGTGGGAATTCGCTCCATGCGGGACGCAAGATAAAAGGCTCAAAAAAAAAAGTTCTGGAGCAAAGCGTAAACGCTAGAACCGTTTGGGTTGGTAATATTTATAGCGACCTCGGTCCTAGGCGTTTACGAGGCCGCCTAAGTCATCGTTGATTCTAGCCCACTGTATCCAACTTTTACTGTTGTTGTTTGTTGCTTAACAAGGAGACGCCCCCTTCTCTATGCATTCAGCAAACGATTTGAAGGGATCGACGACAAATTTACGGCAAGAGTCATTTGAAAAATTAAGTTCACATAGCCCAAGTAGATTTCTGCTATTGGCGTGGAAACTCTGACTGAATGTAATGACAAAAAAAATAACACAGTTAATATATTACACAACTAACATGTAGGGCATGCGGAAAGGAAGGCCATGAGTAAGAACGTTCGCGAGTATAGATAGTGTGTAGCTTCGTTGGAAAATATTTTAGGACAGTTTACGTAGATTTAAGACTTAGCCACTCGGGCAGTCGCAGTTTATCGTCTTTTATTACGTTTTATGTTACTATAAATACTATTAGAATACTGGTATCAACGGTTCATGCAGTTCAAGCATTACTTTTTGAACCCGTAACCATACAGATTGGTACAGGAGAGACAGTCCATTATCTGCTAGTTTTGTTTAAAGTCCATCAAAGTCGATCGCCAATTGAGATCATTATTTGTCTATTTCACTGGCACCTTTTAAACGATCCGCCTGCAATCAATCATATGAGGTAACCTGCATTGAATCTCAAATACGGAACTGTTGTGTTATCTTACAGGTAAATGCTGGTAATAATTTGGCCGTAGTAACACGGTAGTATTCCATTATGAACAAACACTACGGTGTGACTTCTATACAATGACAGTGCCAATAGGATTGAAATTCTCTCTGAAAGCGGACCAGAGTCGCTTTGGCTCTTGGTAGTCTGTTTCTTTAAACGGCCTTTTTTTATTTGAACTGCAAGTAGCGAGAGCTTCCCCGAACCTCTTTTCGCCAGTCCCGCATTCCCTGTTTAGTATATAACGTCAGCAGCTTAAAAATCGATATTTTTTTTTAAAAAGGCAGAGCATTTCTTTTTCGGCCACGTGGTGCCGTATAATGCAAACAGACAAAGGGAGGAAAACAAACACCTAGGGAAAGCTGCATTTAAAGCAAATATTGCGTAGGGTGTTGCTTTTTTTTCAATTCATCTATTTATTCGTGTTTTTTCCGCGAAACGCGTCAAGGGCGGGTAGGACATGTGGAATATAAGTGACCGGAAGGGCATTTCTCTCTTTTATTTTGCCGCTTAGTTCTCTGCAGTGAATAGTGTTTGACAGTAGATGGAATCTTTGGTGAAAGTGGTATGCTACACTTACGAATATAGTTTCCGCTAACACTGTGACATGGAAAGCCTTTCAGATGCAATAATCACTGAGCAATCATATTATATTGTTGATAATTCGCTAGCTAGCTGAAGGATATTTAGAAATCTGTATCTGTAAAACCTGCCCAAACGGACCTCATCTAGCAGTTAGGTACAATCACGACGACAGCGAATCGTCAATTATTACAGAAGATTACTGTAAGTAACTAGCAATGCCACTTACTTTCAACTTGAATCTAACTCCAATTCATATTTGTCCACGTATATTTTCTAATTCCGAAAAGATTCTGCCTCAGTCAGCTAGTTTTTCTGATAGTACTAAATCTACCCATCTTGCTTACGCTTTTCACTCAAATTAGCGATGATGTCGTCCGATTGTTTTTCTTTTTGTTTCAAAGTTAGACATTACTGCACGCAAGCTAACATTCTTCTGCGCATCAGTTCAGCAACAACTGGCAGTGTTGGTTGAGATAGATTTTTAGGCAATATCATTTTACGTGCATCTTTGAATGGCAGGGAAATCTATACGTGCGTATCACACGAACGATGTTTACAATTAATCATTGCACGCAGCCAGATACGCAAAGCGTGTCGTGCCGCCTACTCTCTAATGTTGGTAACATGTTTTTTCCTGTCTTCATTATCAATAACGGTAGTTCCAGCGCTCAGTGCACCGCTCTCGAATTCGACCACTCCGCAACTTATCTCGTGTTATTCTGTAATCGCAATAACAACGAACTCTCAGTGGCGATTATATCTTATTGTATTGGTGCGGTCTAACCAGGCAGTCCCTTCAGCTCCTTCTATTACGATGTTGCGGTGTTGTAGCAGACTGATTCGTAGAAACTTTCGGAAACACCAATTTGGATTTCAACGAAAGTTCCTCTTGATGCCAACACGAATCAGCGACAGCCAGTTTCTATTTTTTATGAAGGAAAAAATTCGATTTATTGTTCCTTAGGGTATAACAACGAAAAACAGGAGCAAAAAAAAGGAAAGAAAGAAACAAAAAGCAGCTTTTGCCATTCTTATTATTTCCGAAAAGGAGCTTTGGACCATTCGTACTGTTGCCAACACGCGACATTCCGTAACCAGGTGGCCCAGTGTGCCAAAGTGATCAAATATTTTATCCGCAGGAGTCCGCAAGTGCCAGACGTAAATTTTTTAGATAATAATGAAGTACTACGAACAATGACTCGATGCGTTTACAGCAAATGTCAGAACTGTGTCTGCCCCTTACCGGTAAACACACGGCGTTTGAGGTTTGCGGTATTTTCAGTCATTGTTTAATCAAAGCTACATTTCTCTGGTCAGAAAGGCTCGTCACCTTGTCTTCTTTTATAGTCGTCCTCGATCCTCATGCTGTGTTTGATGCAACGGTGCAATGTCATAGCGAGGGAATGCGTTGCATAGAATATTACTGTTCTTACCCGTTACAAGCATTGCTCCGAATGTCTGATAGAATGCTATAGGATTGTGACCATGAGAGATTT